GCTGGTCCGTGCGCATGGCCGTCTGCTTGCCGAGGGTGCGGAAGATGGCGGCGTCCGTGCCCATGAAGTCGATGTACACGCCCGCATAGAGCTCCTCGTCTGTGGGCGGGAGGGTCATCAGGGGCCGCCCTTTGCCAGGACCCGGGCGGATGTCAGGAGCCCACGTGACCTGCAGGGCAAGCCCGTCTCCCTGGGCTGCCCAGGGCCCTGGTGAGAGGGTGCCTGGCAAGGCGGGTCGGGCCCTGGAGACGGGGCTTCAGCTGCAAGGAGCTCTGATCAGAGCCAGAGCCCGTTCCTGGGGGAGAAGCTGCCGGCCCCAGGGAGGGCCACACCGCTCACAGCGTTCCACCCACAGGTGGCACAGGCCAGCACCCTCAGGAGGACAGTGAGCTGTAAGGTATCAGGAAGCATGTACCTTTTTTAAAGTAACTGAGTTAATTGTAACTCCATATAATTTAACTTTTAACAACATCTCCGCCCCGAAGGTGCTGACATCCGGTTCACAAAACACCTGGAGGCTTTACCCAGCCTCCCGGGCAGGCCCTGTCCCCGCAGCCTTTACCATCAGGCTAGGGCAAGGCCCGTTTGAAATCAATAAAACTAAAAAAAAAAAAAAAAAAAAGACCGTACCCTTTTATGTAATGATGTTTACTTTGAATTTATATTAGTTCACACAAACACTCCATCCATGCTTTTGTTCCGGCCCTCCGGTCCAATTTAAGAACCCACTGTGGTCCAGTTTAAGAACCCACTGTGGCCCTTGAGTCAGAAAGTTTGCCCACCCCTGGGCTAGGACCTTCTCACTCGCCACAATGGGAGGAAAATGCCCATCCCCTGCCCCAGGGCCTGGCACCGCCGAGGTGGCACAGTGCCCAGCAGCTGCTCCGAGAGGCAGACTGGATTGGGCAGCCAGAGGACAGGCACTGTGCAGGGACCAGGGTCAGCGGGGGGCTCTGGGAGGGGCAGCAGCTGCTCCTGAGGCCCAGACAGAACCCCTCCTCAGAGAACATTCCCGCAACCTCCCCAGACACCTGGCCAGACCAAAACACTCCCGCAGCGGGTCATGGGGCCAGGAATCCCCACGGGTGCCCCCCGTCGGCCTCTCCCAGCCTCCCAGGCAAACCGAGGACATGCGATGGGATTATCGACCACCCCTACCCCCATATCGACTCAGCCTGTCCCGTCCTCTCCTCCAGGCAGCCCGCGGCCACACTGGATTGCAGGGTGGGATCTGGCCCCTCCACACCATCTGCCCAGTCTCTGCCCCTCAGCTCACTCACACTGGGGTCTGTCTGTAGCCCTCTCCCCACCAGGTGGGGCCCACTGGGGGGTTCAGGGTCAGCACGTCCCCTGGGGGAAGCAGAGGCCACACTTTCGGGCTGTAGGACAGGGTGGGGCAGGCACTCACTGATGAGGGCTGAGGCTGTGTCCAGCTTGGGGTCGTATGGACACTTGCCCTTCCCTGACTCGAGTCTCTCAGGCTCCAGGTAGAAGATGTAATCCTGCAGGGCAGAGGGCGGCTCAGCATTGCAGGCTGGTCCCACGGCCGAAAGGAAGGGTAAGGTCAACAGCCCAGGGTTACCCCGAAGCCACCGCCCTTCACTCCCCAGATCCCGGGTTGGAACTCTGTCCAGCCAGGCGGCCCAGGGCAGGGCCACACTGCAGGTTCCAAGGGAGGCGCTGCCTGGTCCCAGGTCTGAGCGCTCTGCTTTGGGGGCCATGAGAAGGCACGGGGCGGGCTCACAGGGCTAAAGCCCCTCCACGCCCACTGGGTCAGGAAGACTGAGCTGTGGCTGTCTGCCCTGGGCCCAGGAGGACAGCCACCTGGTCAGGGCAGGGGCACTGGCCAAAGGTCCTGTCCTTTGCCATCAGGTCAGAGGGCTCTGAGGTCACCGTGCCCCAGGCTTTGTGACGCACCCGTGGTCCTCAGGACCGACTAATAGGCCACGGCCTTCTGCCTGCCCCCCCCTCCCCCCAGGGCCTCCAGGTCTCCCCAGGGAGCCAGGCATGGAAGGGTCCCACCCAAACCACATGGAATTCACAGAGCCTCCCGCCCTGCCCTGCAGATGCCAGGAGGGAGGCTGGTGAAGGCACGGGACCGGGAGGAGCTCCTGGGAGGAGGAGGGAGAGGAGAGGCGCAGAGGCAGGAGGTGCAGCGGGTGGCAGGGGAGGTGATGGGAGGTGTGCACAGGCCCGTCTCCAGTTTCACTCTGCACACGAGACATCCAGCACACATGGGGCTGCACACACAGCTGGGCACGCTCACTGCAGCTGCACACACAGTTGGGCACGCTCACTGCAGCTGCACACACAGCTGGGCACGCTCACTGCGGCACACGGCGCCCACTGTTCACACGCTGGCGCACACGCAGTCTGACGG